CAAAACTTTGTCTTCAAAATAAGGATGCGTCTTATATTCCGAAAAATATAGTACTTGACGAAGCTAGAGTCATTAGTAATACGTCGAAATCAACAAATATTATTAGAGGTTATAGATGCAGCGTTGAAATAATAAGCTATTTAAAAATAGTTTGGTTTCAAGGGAATATTTCTCAACGCCTACAACCTATTAGTTTTCAACAGGGTTTCAGTTTTCCTGTGTTGGAGTTTCAGGGAATGTGCTTTTTCTTACTTTTTGAATGCCTTAACATAAACGATTCGCAAAACATCACTTAGTTCGCTGGGTTCTTGTTCTGTCATGTAATTCAAAATAGTTGAAAATTCAAAAATAAGTAAAACCTGCGTGTCGAAAACAGAAAATGATTCCCAGTGACTTATATTTGGATTGAGTGATTGATTATTTTACTCCACTAACATAACTGACAGAACAATTGTTTGGAAGTTATTTAAATTTTCAATATCATATCAGGTATAGTAACTCATAGAAAATGTACCCCTCAAATCAAAAGGATATGAAAAAATTGAATGGTTGACCAGAGACTTATGGAAAATGCATTACGATGTTATATTTACTTTAGAAAGTATAAAACAGTGGTTTCCAAACTTTGTGTCGCGAGAGTTTCACCGAACGAAGAATAATTAAGAACATAAAAAACTCCACAAAAAAATCATGCAGGAGTGTCGTGCAAATCAAGGTATGGGGGTTAGGGTGCAGTCAGTGAAAAAGGTTTGGAAACCACTGGTATAAAGACTTAGGAAATGAATTTGCTGGGTTGGCCAAATATTGGGGTTTCTAAGGAAAATGAGAACTCATATATATGATGAAAATGTGAAGCCTTTTAAGGATTTTTCAGCTAAGATTTGTGCTGAATCTGTATATATCTTTGTTTTTAAGAGAAATGAGGCTGTCGTATACATTATTTGGGATATCTTAATTTCTCGAATAGCTTACCACTTAAGGAGATATAGATTTTTCATTTGGGTTTTCTGAAAGTTATTTTAGACTTTAGTTAAGTTAATAAGATGCAATTTTAAAAATTTAACTTGGATATTTTGATAGGATTTATAGCTTTCTTTAAGATTAATAATTGTTATGTTGTGTATTTCTAATTTATTTAATTATGCTTTTTAAAGATAAGATTTTTATTGCTATATCGGTTGTCTTATCATAACTGACGAAACCTTGTAACCAATAGAGAAATATATGATTTGTTGTTTAGTTTCAATCTAATTTCGTTTTACCTGCAATAAAGGAATTATTATAGATGGCTTTGATAGAATTAGAAATATTTAGAAAATGAGTAGAAATTTGAAGAACATCACTGGTAACCATGTCGCCACTAGATGCCATACCTTTTACAGTAATGTTGTTTACCATGTCGCCACTAGATGCCATACCTTTTACAGTAATGTAGTTTACCATGTCGCCACTAGATGCCATACCTTTTACAGTAATGTAGTTTACCATGTCGCCACTAGATGCCATACCTTTTACAGTAATGTAGTTTTACGTCATAAGATAACGTATCAGAAAATCACGATGAATATTTCTCTTAAAAGATACAGATACGCATTGAAAATTTACGGCGTAGCTGTGTATTGTCTTATAAGTAAAGAAAGATACGCAAGTGGTTCGTGTTTTCGTTACTTATTTTATTTGGAAACACACATTAATTGTAACAAAAGTACAATGCAATGCTTGGTAAATCTATATCGAAAAAAATCCTTCCAAAACCAAAATGCTGCAATTTTTTGTTGTTGTTTTCAGTTATATTTCATATTAAACCAAGCATATCTTGTAACCATGTAACACATTTTGGTTTATTTCAGTGTCAGTACGACCACGACTATTTTTCTTCATAAATTAATTTAGTAGAAAACTCCTTTAGGCTTATAATTATTTCACGTTGTCCTTACACCCCCAGCTTTGAAAAAATGAAGCTAAGTTTCTTGCCAATTTAATTTTTTTCCGAAAGAGGGTGAATGCGTATAATCTTGTTATCTGAATAAAATATGTCGATGATATTAGCGAGAGAAACATAGTATATACTTATTTAGTTTCGAAGTTATTGATTCTTTTTCTTTTTTTTTTTTTAGTAGAACAATTAATACTGGTAGGGTAGAATTTTCTGGCAACTCGAAAGAACAATCACCTTAAAACTACCTTTGGGAAAAATATTTACTGCAGTTTGAATGACTTAATAAGATTTTACTTTTTTTTTGCTAGTTCTGCGTATATTTGAGAAAGATATGCTAAAATTATCATGATTTCAAATTCGATGACGAGGAACCCACTTTGAGACTAATAATGGTTGGAGACGGCTTGAATGGGTAATGAAGAAAAAGTTTAATGTAAGTTTAACATTATATCAGGTGATGATGATGATGAGAAAACCTTGTCGAAACGTTGTAAATTTGCTGTTATGTTAAACTTATATTAAAGTTTTTCTTCATTACCCATTCAAGCCGCCTCCAACCATTATTTATCATGATTTCGTATTTTTGGTACCTTACAGCACTATCGCCCTCTGGTAACAGCAGCATAACTTACATTTCACTACTCTGTATTCTTGTGATTATTTTGTATTATGAAAGGTGGTTCGTTATAGGAGTATTGCTGATACACGAAGTTAACACTGACGATAACTAATGCATTGGATTATATTATTTTTTATGTAATATTAGTGGAAGCAGGGTGTTATAAAATCGTTAGAACATAATCTAACGTGAAGAAAGTAAATTTTATCTATGAATACGAATAAAACATAACTATTATAAGTCTTCCTGGTTACAGTTGATCATATAAAGAAAAAATAGATTGTAACGACAAAACAAACGTTAATTAAATAAAGTGTTTCTATTGCACACTGACGAAACAAATATATCAAATACTTGGTAAACATGGATTTAAATCTCGGACCTTTGTATATTCGCTCGTTTTTGTAGTCAGTCAACTTTTGAAAAATAGTATGCTTTACATACTATTGTCATTTATAATCTTTACGTGTCTTTTGTCTTTTTCAGTTTCAATTGTATATTTTATTTTAATATTCCAGGTGGCATCTAATCAATGATGTAACACATTATAATCGTCACAGTTGCAGGAGTAAACATTTTCTCAATAGATGGAGAATGATGTCAAGTATCAACAACTAAGGTGTTTAGAAAACCAGATAACAGATTAGAAGAATGAATAACGACGAAAGCAATAACTTTCGGTAGAAATAACAAGCTAGGACATAGCTTTACATCACTGTTGTTTCCAACGTTAGAAATAACAAGCTAGGACATAGCTTTACATCACTGTTGTTTCCAACGTTAGAAATAACAAGCTAGGACATAGCTTTACATCACTGTTGTTTCCAACGTTAGAAATAACAAGCTAGGACATAGCTTTACATCACTGTTGTTTCCAACGTTAGAAATAAGAAGCTAGGACATAGCTTTACATCACTGTTGTTTCCACCTGATACAAAATCGGTATTTTAAACAAAAAACATTTTTAGTGCGAATAGTAAAACTTTATATACTACGCATAAAATATATTAGTACATAGAAATCTGTATATACAATTAAATTAAAACACTTATAACAGATTAAAAATAAACTGTCCAACAGTTCTTTGACATGACCTTAAATAGGACCTAAAGTATATAACTATATATATTTTAAAGAGGACATGCCCTCCTGTGAAACTATAATTCTTTTCTTTAAAAATGAAAATAAGAAAGATTCCAACTCTCGACTTTACTAATCCAGTAGATACAGTATATTAAGCTGACGCGTTTCGACAAATAAAACAAAACAAGAATATGTAACAAACTTTTTAGCAGAAATTGCTTCACGAGGTCATTGCTCACTTTGTCTACTATATTTACTTAGATTTTAGTCAGGTAGCGGTTATTTTTACAAAGAAGATAAATTTCACTTGTATCAGCAGAAATATTTCATTTTCATTATTTTAAACTGAATTTCAAGTTACCGCGCTTTCAGAAGAAATTTTTCCTAAAACTACTACCGTAGCAAGTAGAGGTTATAAAATATCCGTCGCAGCGCCCTCTATGCGATAGTTGATTAAAGCTATTACTTGATTATCAACTCTAAAAGAGTGAATGACTAGAAGTGGACTAATCTCATAAAGAATGTCAGAAATTAAGAAAAATTTACACGTCCAGTACAGGATTTGCTTATGATCATTTTCAGGCTCTCAAGTTAATTCACAGAAATTGTAAGGTTTTACTTTCATATTAACAAATAATTATCACGGATTACCACATACCTACCAAAAATACAAAGAGAGAGAGAATGAATAACTGGTATAAACTTAGTACAATAAAGTATTTAATTTTTTATCTGTAATAAGCACAGTATTGGTTAGTTTAATAATGTATTTTATATGAATAAAAATTCGTTGTTCTTTGTCCTATTTCTTAAACTGTAAATGCGTATTATTAACAGGACTGTACTTTGTACATAGGTGATATTGCAACACCAAACGCGTAAAGGCATCTTCAAAGGATAGTTACTCTATAGGTGTACGTATATTATTAATATTACTAAAAATGCCAAATGCTCGTTTTGTGCTTTACAAACTGGTTTAGTTGCAGCTGAAAATTTGCTTAAGTAATTATACGAAGTCGAATGAATCACGATTCTTAAGCCAGAAATTCTTCGTGTCAGTTCTCTTTCATAAATCTTCTTGTTATGTGTCTTCTGACATCACGGGTTGTTGTAGATACAAGTTCCATTGTTTTTCTGTTGAAGACAAGAAATATTTCACACAAAAAAAGAATACAACATGAAACTTGAAACTTAAGAATAAAAACATTCCTTACGGTTGGAGCTAAAGGATAAAATTTATCCAGCATCAACTTATCCGCAGATTAATGTGTTAAAAGTTTGAAAAACTGCGCAATAAAAATACCGAAAATGAGGTATTATGATAATAATAGAATTTAATAGATATCAACATAACATAAGTCTTAAAATAACTTGTACACAAATTAACTGATTAAATATGAAATGCTACTGTTATTTACTTCACACAGTGAAATATTTAAGATGTCTAAATTCAACTGTTACATGTGTATCAAAATACGCTAAGGAGAGAAGAAATGATAAATTCCATAGATATATGTGTGCCAAAAACATGAAGAGGTAACATTTTCATGGAGTTACGTGTTGTGTGTATTATAATACTTGAAAATGTTATTATTACATATCACAATGTTACAGAAGAGGCAAATTCCACATTCTGTAAGACTTCATAAAACATAAATGTTATTACTACAACCCCCCCCCAAAAAAGACCGAAATATTTAAATAGAACGTATTAAAGTAACCTGCAATATCTAAATAATACGATTGCATATTAAGAAGATTTAAACGCATGCAAATATTACGCTCATACACAAAATGACTTAGATAAGGAAATGTAATGCCTACAAAACTAAAATATTTAACATATCTAAATAATGAGGTTACACCTTAAACTTTTGAAGATATGAAGGTGTTACAGTTACATACCTAGAGACTTAAAGAGATATATTTGACAGGGTTGTTTGACGATTTTATCAAGAGCCAATACAACGGAGGATTGGTAAAATAACGAGTCAATCTGACCATCATAAGACCCGGAGATGTCATCTTGAAATTTCCTGTTTGGCTGAGGTTCTAAACTTGTATGGTAAGAGGACAGGGTTCTCGTGTTTGTCACTGGTTCAGTCCTGTAGTGTAGTTTCAATTTCATATGCTGTCCGACCTACATTTTAGAAATAAACATGAAGTGTTACATGAGTGTAAAAGCTATGTCATCAGATGTATTATTTTAAATTTATCTTACAATACGTTGCGAACTTGCGAATATTATCTCTATCTACCATAATATTTCCAATATAGTTCTTAATTCATAAGCAAGTATTGGTTATTTTCAAGTACAAATGTAAAATCGATATTCCTTACCCTGCGAATAAAACATTTAATCTTAAAATTACTGTTTTAATTAATCACACGCTTTCATGCATTAGGACCAGATCCAATAATGTATCTCGACATATTTCATTACTTGATAAAGTTGAAGCCTTTGTTTGATTCGATAAACAAATTCTCACGAGAGAAATATCTTATGGTTGTTTGTTTGTTTAAGAGCAGAGCCACACTGAGCTATCTGCTGTGTCCACACAGTGAATCAAACCTCGGATTTTAGTGTCGTAAGTCCATAAATTTACCACTGTTCCACAGAGGGACTATCTCTGATGGAGTTGAATATAAACATTTCAAAATTCATGCTGTGATTTAATATTCAAATTTCATATAAAATCTGTTTAACATATATTTATAAATTATTATTCCAAAAAGTTTTGACAGATCCAATCAATACTGTAAGCATTGTTTACTTGGAGCTACATGAGAACTATCTGAGCTAGCTGTCTCTAATTTTGAACTGATAGACTAGAGCAGTGGTTCTCAGACTTTAGAATTTTTTGGCGGAGTCCAAAACCTATCAATGTTTTCTGTTTTGAAAAAAAATCCAGTTTTTAGTCTTTTTTATAACCGTTCATCCTTTTCCGAGAGAAAACGAAACTAAATCAGTAGCTAGTTAGTTAGTAGTGAGAAGGTTTACTATAAAGTTTACTCAGCCCTATTTTGGAAATCTAAATTTAAACAACTGTAAGATAAGTAAAAAAGTTCACGTTTGTCTTGCCTCATAGACTCCTTCTTTGGTAGCAGAAAAACAAACTGTTGTATGTAATTGTGACCCTCCTTGACAAGAACCAAGGTTAGACAGAGGCTTGTGACATATTATAGACCTGCTTTCTTGTACTTGATTACCTAGGACAATATGAGAACAAGTGTGTGCAATTAATAAATACGCATAAGAACGAAATGAGTGAATAAGTAACTTTTCAGGCTTATAACGTGAGTACTCATATAGGTATTAAGTAACTTATTTGGACTATCACCACGTTTTTTTAGTTTTTTTTTAATGCACAAGCTTTCGGCTCAATTATCTAAGCTTTTTACAAGTGCGATGCGTACAAAAATGAGTGAGCTTTAGCATATATGTATATATATATGACGTGGTATTTATTCAAGTTTGTAAAGTATAATTATGGAATAGATTGGGGTATACCAACATCTTTTGCAGTTTTCATAGTTTTACAGAAAAAAAAAGTGCTATGTACAAAATGTAATAAAACCCATGCATGTGAAGCAAAGCAAGATATATTTCTAATTAAGTCTTACTATGAGTGGAAAGCGATGTCGATGGCACTGTTGGATCCCAGAACAAGTAAATGGCTAGAAAGTCCTGAAGATGATTGGTAATCGTGTATTTCACCTGGAAACTGAAAAAGAAATACGTATTCTAACTTTACAAGAAGATTCTACAGTAAAACAGGTAATACAGACATAGTTCCAGCCATTAATCTGAACTACTGTATCATCATGTCGCTTTGGAGACCAATACTTATATTGCTACATCAGTAAACGATTATAGCAGTTCATTGGCCAGTTGCATGCATTAATTATTAGAAATAGTATACAAATTTCCATTGTCATCAGATGGTTATTAAAATCGATAAGGTAATTTTTTTGTGTCGAGGAAAAAATGTCTGAAAATCAGTAGTTAAATAACCGTATCATACAATATTCGATAAGGTAATTGTTGTGTCGAGGAAAAAATGTCTGAAAATCAGTAGTTAAGTAACCGTATCATACAATATTCGATAAGGTAATTATTGTGTCGAGGAAAAAATGTCTGAAAATTAGTAGTTAAGTAACCGTATCATACAATATTCGATAAGGTAATTGTTGTGTCGAGGAAAAAATGTCTGAAAATCAGTAGTTAAGTAACCGTATCATACAATATTTGATAAGGTAATTGTTGTGTTGAGGAAAAAATGTCTGAAAATCAGTAGTTAAGTAACCGTATCATACAATATTCGATAAGGTAATTGTTGTGTTGAGAAAAAAAATGTCTGAAAATCAGTTGTTAAGTAACCGTATCATGAAATATTTCTAAAGACCTGAACGCAAATTGCAGTGACTTATAGTAAACGAAAATATTTAAAATACGTCCATCAATAACTGGAGATTCTCAGGATTTGGTGACTAATAACCAAGTTCAATACTAGAAAAATAAATGTGAAGCCCAATGTATTATTCGATTTACTACTTGTCACCGAGTTAAGCCGGTTTCGAGGAATTCCATCTCTCATCAATAACCCTGAACAAAGTCAAATCGAAAGAATAAGGCAAGGCTTCAAAACAATCATACAAGTTTAATACTGTTTACTATTTACACGCCTAGCGAGATGCAACCAAAATTTCACATTATTTTTTTATGATTCCGAGACTTATACTTAGCCGAAAATATTTCGTCCAGTTCTGGTTTATGTTAGTCGACAGATAAATCAATAACACCACTTTTATATTGTTGCGTCAGCGAAGTCACGTGACTCGTTCTCTCGAACCTTCGGGAATTGTCGGGAGAATACTAGATATAGGGTAGTCTGGTATATATAAGAGGGGGACAACGTGACGGAATGTAATGTGGGTGTAGATAGTGAGAAATTGAACTGCAGTCACAGGGTATTGTTGAAGTTAACGTTCGTTCGTTATAGTGTTTGTTTTAGCGCGAATATTGAAATCAAGTGTATCGTAAAGTTGTATTCGGAAAGAATAAACAAGTCTTATTAAGAAAGGACTTGTGTCGATAAAGTGTCGCCGGAACGAAGTTACTGAAAGTTAATTCAGCAAACGGAGACGTACCAATATGGTAATACTATTCTTAGA